AGAGAGAGAGAGAGAGAGAGAGAGAGAGAGAGAGAGAGAGAGAGAGAGAGAGAGAGCACAAACCTGCAATGATCAAGATTTCCAGAGAGTGGAAACAGTTTGGAGATGGATTGGCTAGAGAGTTGACGACAACCATTGACGTTGAGAGACAGCATATTGGTAAGTCCACGTGAATCTTCTCCAAGGCCGCTGCGCCCGATGCTCAGGGTATCCAATGAACGACAACCATGAGCATCAAGAATCTGAAGTCCCCGTGGAATGACCACCTTCTCTAGCTTTCCACATCCAGTTATGGATAGGACTGCCAGCTGGCGCACATGTGATGCGTCCAATGACATCACATTATCACCCAGCAACATGTTGTTCAGTCGGGACTGCCGAACACACCACTGATCACGTACCATTTCCTCTGCAGCATTCACCCGAGGATGCCCTTGCTGCACAGTTTCATTTCCCTGCCCCATACCCTCTCCTGTAGTCGACAGTAATGGTGATGATGCTGATGCCGATGCTGACAAAGATGAATACGATGATGACCATGCAGGACTGTTTCGACAGCAGCAAGAGAGTCTACTCTGCTGCTCCTGAAGCCCATTCTGATTAGGCAATTCCCACCCTCTCATCGCCTGCTCGGGGAAGTCTTCTGTTGAAGAGTTCATCACAATACGTTTCATCCTTGCAACAATGAACACGCCCTGCCCTGGAACTACTGCCGCCTCTGACAGTCCATCTTCCCAGTGAGAAGGCGGAAGATTCTCTGAAGCCCCCGGAGAGGCAATAGAAAGGGAAAGAGGGCTGCTGAGGAATTTGTTTTTTGGCAGTTGAAACAGTACAGCACCTGCAAGAGCCCGCTTCCGCCATCGCTTGCAGACTGCTGCAACCAGAGGAAGGCATTCAAGTGGGAGATGAGAGAAGATCTCGGACAATATGTCATTGGACACATGGCAGAATTCCCCACCCGCTTCGGCATCGCTTGCCCCCATCATCCTTGTTTCTTAGTGCATATTCACATCAGAACTATTAATCTGACTAAATTTAGCCGCAACTCAGGTCAGGTGCAGTCACAAGAGGTCCAAGTATGTCCTCAGTTATCCTAACCCACATGGTGTCATGTCGCTTCTCTTAACGGGACGCTTCTACCATCTCCTCCGTATCATGTTCTTCTATCCCACCGCGCTATCACGCCATGCCCGTTCCCCACTACAGCCACAACATTCCCATAATGTGGCTATTCCCCACTACACCAGCCTCCCCCTCTGCCTCCTTCGCAAGTTGGTCACAAACACCTGCACAAATCCGTGCACCGCTGCTTTTCTCTTCTTCAAAACCTTCAAGTTTCGCATTTCAAGTCACTGCACTTCAATTACTGTCTGTTCCACATCCCAAACTACCTTCTCTGTCCCCACTGGGGGGGGGCAAATGCCATACGAATCTCCACACCAAAGAATTCCCTGAAATTGAACAGCGAACACCCTGGCAATAATAAAAACAAACAAACGGGTTCATGAAAAATTAGATTTTCCTCAGTTGGGCAAGCCATGGAAAGGTTGGGCAGGGCACTGATGGGGAAAGGCCTGGCTGGAGGACAGGTCAACGAGACATCTTCATCATAATCTGGATCATACCCTTGAAACGCGTAAATGGGCATCGCATGAAAAGCAGCTAGACAGAAAGACAGCGAGGGATTTAAACCCTTGGATTATGCCAATCAACACCCACACTGTCAATGCTGCATTCACCACAAAGCATGGCAGCATAGTGGACAGTGCAGATCATCTCCAGCCACCCAGCGAACACCAAACCGAAAATGTATTTGCAGAAACCAAGTGTCACATACCTATAAGTAGCAGATAGGCATGGCGCAAGAACCAAGGATCGCCATGAACAACAACAACGATAAAAATGCAGCAGAAGACTGAAATAGACACATCTGACTCATTGGGACTCAGGACAGCATACATAAATACATCATCACTCATGCACAGGGATGGGCATGGAGGCTCACACACAGACGATCGCCACTATGTCCTCGATACATCCACAGACGAAGGAGATGGAGGAAGAGACAAAGAGGGGGAGACTGAAGGGAAGACTGCAACGCAATAGCCCTACAAAAGAATAGTCTGCACAATACTCCCCCAATGTCTCTGTCCAGAATACCACGTCTGAGTCTGGGCAAACCACCCGAATAGTCACCGAGTCTCATCTCTCTCTCTCTCTCT